AATTTTTTTTTTTTTTTTTTTTTTTTACATAACGATTTCACAACTGCATTTTATAAAATTTGCAAATTCTCTCGCGCGAAACTCGCAATTACGATAACGATTATATAAGTTAAAAAAAAAAAATACACGCTTTATCAAAATTTATCAAAATAAATTTCATAAATATATATAAGATGAGTCAATAGAAGCACTTATCTATAATAATAATAATTTCATTTTCTATCGATTATATCGAAAACGTTTTGTAAATAATAATTATGTAACATTTTAAAGCATTGCATTGAATAGATGTAATCTAATTCTTTTATATCTTATCTTTTTTTTTTGATATCAAAATGATCTTTCTTTTTCAAAATCAATGTATTTTCTTTTTTTTTTTAAGATCTCATTGTTATCGATAGCATGATGAATAAAAAGAAACCGATAACACTATAATCTTGAGTTGATCTTGATCCTTAAAATCGCATAAAATGTTGAATACAATTCATTTGTTTTTTAATACGATTTAATACGAAGAAACGATATTTTATTAGTTCTTATTAATTCATTCAGTATATGTCATATTACATTCTCATTATATTATAAACAAATATCAAATTAATCCAATTGAAAATAATTAATATTTAACATTAAAAAATTATACTGCAATAATAATATTGGGAATTTATTTGAAAATTCAACGACCATCTATTATTATATGATCCAAAAAAGAGATTCGTTTTGTAAATATCAACTTGTATTAAGTAATCTTATTCTTTTGTAGCTCATAAAAAATAAAAATCGTATAAACTGGTTAATTCATATCGATGATTTCGTATTCTGTGCCCTCAGGCTCTTGTTAATGTAAAACCGAAACGGTAACAACGTGTTATTATGTCCATAAGAAAAAAGGAATAATTGTATCACACATATGACGTGCCCTCGATTCTTATAAAATTTACCAGTAAAATAACTGTATTGATTGACAATTAATAATGTATAAATTAACACGTAAATTACACGTGACATTAATAAATAGACAACTTATTTTAATTTTGCTTAATTGAATCAATTGTATGCAAAATGATTTTAATTTTTTATATTTTTATTATTATTCAAGTTATTTTCAATTATTGTATTTTCAAATCGTAGCTTATGTTTATTGCTATAATAATTATATAAGATAGGAATTATAATTTTAGAGGTATAATTTAGATACAATTTAAGACGAGTTTACAGAATAAATTTTATATAAGTGAAATTTTATATAATATCTCATTATCCAAAATTAAGCTTTTGTTATCTGAACTTTGTCATTCTACTTTATATCAATTTATAACGTTTTCATAAATCTCATCCTTTTAATATTATCATTTAATTAACATAAATTAATATTCATTAATGATCAATATCATTTCGTAATTCCTCCATAAGAAGGAAATTATTCGAGTTTTTAAATTTGCCACGAAGTATTCGCAAATTTTCTTTGGTTTATTTGTTATTGTTTAATTACACATGGCTATAATTATCGTATTCTCTGAAGACCACGAACAGTTTCTGGAACCCACGGAAGAGTTTTACGGGATATTAATTAGCGTCGACGTAATTAAATTTATTGATTAATTTCGTCATCCGTTCTTGTCAAGAGAGGAAGCGAGTAAATCCAGCCACGAATAAATATACCTTGAGAATATAACCATTGAATTGTTAATCGTCTTCATGGATAAATTTTCCAGCTCTATTCGTTACGAATGAGGCTAATTTTTCTTTTATTATGAAAACCATGTTACGTGAAGATAAGATAATATTTTGTCACGATTATGATAAAAGTAGTATAGTTGAAATTTACTAATAAATATAAATAGTTCTCGTTCTTTATATATTTAATATAAATTTATTCTTTATAATTAACATATAAATTATATTCTAAATTATTTTTCATATGTATATATTTAATGATAATTGATGTAATTTTAGAAAGATATAATTTTAAATGTTAAAGTTGATTACTTGTGATTGAGGTAGAAATACGCGTTAATTTATTTTAATTGTTTCATTGTAAATATTATTTTATATTCTCTTAGTTTTTCTAGATTTATAGATTTAAGAAATGTTTGGTGTCTTTTTTTTTTTTTCTTGAAAATCAAGAAAATTATTTCATATGCACTCAATCTCAATGTTATCGAAGAATCTTTGAAGATCGATGAAAATCGAAGAAAACGAATATATTCTACCAATACCTTAATACCTTAGAGAAGTACGAAACGAGTTTGAGAATTGATGAAACTTTCGGGGGAATGGAACATCAGGTTCAACTTGAGAATTTCATGGTTGGTCGGTTGGCCGAATTCCAAGGACGGAATGGTAACGATCGTAATTCCTTCTGTCGCGTTTCCCTCTTCGTTCGTTCATTCTGTCTCACCAGGTGCGAATCCGAAGACATAAATTTCTGCGTGAAACCGGCCAAGATACGAGGGCGTGGTGACGTTGAGCGTGGACAGATTGCCGTGGAAATCGGATCAGAGGAAGAGATACAGGGAGATCGATAACCGATCGTTTTACGGCGATAGCCGTTATTCTTTGTCGATCGTGAAACTTGGTTTTCTTTTTGGATAATCTTCATTCCATTGTAAAATGATGCGCAACAGGTGTTTAATAATATATCACATAGCCGCGATATAATGTATTATTCGAAATCCATTTATAGGATAATGCGTGGATCATATCTCGTTCCAGGTTCGTTCAAAATCTGGATTCTTTCTGAGAATCAATGATAAATAAATTTAAAATTTGACATACAAACGAGTGATAAATTCATTTAAAAAAATGGATTGGTTGAACGATGGCATGGATGAACAAAATATATTTAAATTATTTGAAATTAATTTCTTCGAAAAATCAATTTATCATTATCATTATAAGCGCTCTGTTAACAAGAGATCAAATTTTGTACAAATAATAAATTGTACGATATTACTCATCTCCTTTTTTTTTAAAACTTCTCTCATTTTTTTAATTTTGTTACTTTATAATTATTATTGATAATAATAATTATTGCATTGGTCATATTAAGCCAATGCAGCTTGGTTATATATAAGTCTAATTTAAATATCAAATCGGGCTATTATTTTTGATCGGGTTATTTAATTGATGAATATTGATTTTCCAAATATAAAAAACAATTGTAAAACGATGAAAAATGTAATAAAATCCAATTTTTGCATACGTACAACATCATTTTTACTGGACGCATATCAAAAAAAAAAAAAGAAATCGAATCCTTTTTTTTATCTTTCCCATTTCTTCAGGAAAATTCATAATTGATCAATTATGAATTTTCCTGAAGAAATGTGAAAAAAAAAAAAAATTGTAAAACCAATAAAAATGTAAAAAAATCCAATTTTTGCATACGTTCAACATCATTTTTTCTGGGCGCATATCAAAAAAAAAAAAAGAAATCGAATACTTTTTTTTATCTTTCACATTTCTTCAGGAAAATTCATAATGGATCAATTATCATAAAACAGAAAATCCTCATAAAGTTTGATGAATGATATTGTAATTCTACAGTTAAATTTCATACTTTGCATTAATTTTGTGTAAAAATTAGTGATTTCTCCTACAAAAAAAAAAAATATTATATATTACCATATAATGATTCAAGTTTTTTTGGCCTAATAAAAATTAGAGTATTCACCTAATTTGTTTAGATTATTTTAAAATCTAAAAGAGTTTAAAAATTATTCTGATTTAATATTCTGTCAAATATCAAGAGTAGATTAGAATTTTTTATTTTGCAATTTCAATTTTGATTATGGGAATAATGAAAAAGTATTTTGGTGCTAAACTTATATCAAGAATAGAAATTATAATTGAATATAGAAATTCAAGTAATTGTAATCGTAATCATGATTTTATACATAATTCAATTACAATGTTTGATGGCATGTTGAACACATACAATATAATTCAATATATAAATATATGATATAAACGTATAAATATAAATATTTTATTTAGGATACATATTCAGCCTATAAATCTGATATTAAGATGAATTTTATTAATTAATAATTAGTTAAAATTAGTTTTATAATATTCTAATTTTTTTTACATTAAATTCTTTAAGCAATAAATTTTTTCTTTACCGCTGGAAAAAAGATATGAACATTACAAATAGGAAAGTTATGATTGAATAATTGACTATAGTAGCGCCGGATGTTACAATTATAGCTACATTTCCAGGAATTTTGATGGCCATCAGATCCACAAATTGACTGAAAAATAATAAAATTATTGTATTATCGTTAAAGTAGTAAATAAATAGATCTGAATAAATTTGGAATCAGTAAAAAAATTAAGAATTTAAAAATAAATCGACTTATTTGAATTATTTTTGAAAATATTTTAGAATCAAATATCAAAAATGAAATTAAATTTATGTCATTAATTGTCCATTACTAATAAAATTAATAAAAGATTTTAGAATTAATAAAAGATTAATAGAATTAATAAAGATATTAAATCGTATTGATTTAAATATAATAAAATATCCATAAATTAAAAAATCTATTTTAATCATTATTGCATTATAGAAAATTTTCTTCTGTTATTGTTCTTATAAATCCACATATTGATTCCAATTCAATTTAAAACATATGTTCTAATCAAAATTCGCCGAATATTGATTGCTTACTTTGGTATCAAGTTGGAGTTTATACTGCTTGTATAAATTTTATTATTTTCTTTGTTCACCAGTTTTGATATATCCACGGTAGTACTATTTTTAGAAAAATTGATCAAAAGAGATACCGCTTCTTTTTTGTCTTGTCGCACGACAGCCAGGACATTTTTGTTTAAAACTTGTGTAATAAGCTCCCCTTCTCTCAACACGTCTCTTTTTCTTAAGGCGGTCAAGTTGGTATAAAGATGATAATGAGAAATAGAATCTTTTTTCTCTTGCTCCAAATTTAATCCATTTTTGTATGATGTATGAGCAGGCAGCCATTCCTTTTCAACCGTACTTTCATTGGCTTTACTAAAACCTATAAGCATCGAGTTTATCATGTAAATGTCAATATTTTCATAGAAATTTACAAACGAGATAAGGTTGTTTTATTATTTAAATATTAGAGATTATAGTTTTATTTCTGTATATTTTATATAGATATAAAATAAAGAGTAAATATATGAATGTGACAATTAAATTGATAGAATAATAATCAATTGGAATATTAATGGAAATGATTTTTTTTTTTAAACTTGATGCAAGATTCAAATGACTTCAAAATTTATTTATCGCTATATAGTTATAAAAAATTGAAAATCTTGCTAATAAAATGTATCTATCTTTTTATTAATTGAAATATTAATATTAATAAAAAAAATATTTTATAATATTATTTTTCAATTTTTTAAAACTTTTTTTTTACTGTTAAAATTAATAAAAAATTTTAGAAAAATTCAGAAACTGATTCTTCAATCTAATTCTTCATACCTGCATTAATGGAATTATCCCATTGGAATGGTGTTCGACAGCCATCACGAACATCATATTTGAATATCGTAGTATTATCCTCCATACCGATTTCTTCTCCATAATACGTGACCGCGATTCCAGGCAAAATCATCTCTAACATTATCATGTGATCCGCCCTACCTGGATAACGTGTACCGACACGAACTCGATCATGGTTTCCCATCTGTTGTAATTATTATATATATATTTATATTTTGGATGAATCAAAACTGATCTTACTTAAATAATGCGAATAGATATAAACTTATCTAATTTTCATTAGTAATTTTCATTATTTAGTGTTATCGTCAACTAAGTTGACTGAGTAAAAAATGAATCACAATCAGGATTAAATGTATTTGTTTTTTTATCATATTAAATTTAATTAATTATGAAAAAACTTACGTACCACCCAATTTGGAACACTATTTTTGGGAGTTCCTTTTATCCAATTGTCTATAATTGTTTTAAATTGTTCTGGCGTGGAAGATGAATTTGCATCTGTTATAAATTTAAAATTGAAGGGAACGTTTGAACCGAATTCGTAATATTTGACAGTGTTGCTTAAAGAACTATAGACCTCTGTCAAAAGTACCTGTAAAACAAAATTTTATTAAATCGTGATAAATAGTGTTCAATGCGTATCTAATTTAAATCTAGGATTAAAAATTAAGAAAATATTCTAAATATTATCAATATGTGTATAATAGTATAATTGGAAATTTTCTATACTTTTTACATCCTGTTCATAAAATCAATCATTGTGTAAACTTCAGTGCCGATGAAACAATCGAATAAAAAATTTTTCTTTTTTAATATGTAATAATTTTTTAAATAATATAATACTAATATATGGTCAAATTAAATAAAATTAATATATGGAATTATTATTAAACAATATATGGAAAAAATATCAACTTTTTCTTAAATTTAAAATTTAAAACAACATTGAGTTTATTCATTTAGCATTGATAAAATTATTAATCGATACATAAATAAAAGTTTGATATATCTTGTCAGTCTCGAAAGAAATGAAAAAATTTAAAAATAGAATATATCTTTACGATAAATTGCTCGCAAATATATATTTTTTTTCTCTTACTATTTCATCCCGATTATTATCCTTTGCATACGTGTCCACAAATTTTCGCCATTCGGATACTATTTCATAAGTCTCGGGTTGATCTTTCGTTAAAGTGTGATTGAAAGAAGCGTGAAGACTTAAATTGAGGTTTTCACCAAAAGGTGTTTCATTTAACGATATGTTAGCGGCTTCGTATAAATGTGGTATAGCATCTATGCGGAATCCATCGATTCCATTATCCAACCAAAATTTCATTATATTCTGAAAAAAGAATGAATAGATCATGCAAATTTTCTGTTGGAGACGATTCGCATAGAATAAAAAGATAGAATAAGGAAAAATTCTTTGCGAATACGAATAAAATCTTGCAACAGAATTTCTTAGATTAATCTAATTTATAGTATTTCAATAATGTATATTCAATACGTTCATAAGATATTTTCTTCGTTTTTCTTTCTTTCATGGGATTGATTAAGTGTTATAAACAAATCGAATGATACAAAACTTTTGTATTAATTTTTGAATTAATTTTAATATCAAGAAAATTGACCAAAACTATACCTCCATCTCTTTTTTCACTTCCGGGTTTCTGTAGTTCAAGTCTGGTTGTTGCTTATAAAATTGATGGAAATAAAATTGTCCCCTCTTCTCGTGGAATGTCCATGCTGTACCATTGAATACACTAACCCAGTTATTAGGATACTTGTCTTTAATTGGACTTCCTGTATCGTTTACAGTAGCATTAACCCATATGTAATAATCTGTATATTTTGCAGTCCGATTTATACTCTGTTGGAACCATTTATGCTGATCAGAAGTATGATTAGGGACGAGATCTAGAATAACCTGAAAAAAAAAATTGTCAGTATTTTTGTTATTTATTTAGAAAAAATACAGATTTTTAAACTTTGTTGAGCTTCAAATAACTAAATGATTAGCTATAGTATCTTCAATTCAAAATGTGAAAGCAAATTTTAATATTTTATTCTCTTAAATAAAAATCTATGAATTTTTTTTAAATATACTAATTGATTTTTCAGCAGATAATGAAAATATAATGAAAATTATAATGAAATATGAAAATATTTCATATTTCATATACTTAATGAAAATATTTTGATATTCACTTTTTTAGAGAAATAGTTACATTTCCATGAAATATTTATTAAATGTGGAATTTGATAGAATTGTTTTCAAACTTAAGATAGGAAAATAATTTTCCAAAAAAAATTTATGATTTAAATTATTATTTAATTGAAATTATTCGATAGCGTATCACTTATTGTATCAATACAATAAGTAATACTTTAAAATCTTCAACGTGATTTTCTTTCAAGTGTTATTACCGTGTATTATTATATTTAATGTTTATCTCATCGATATTGGAAAAGTACTTATCGACAATTCAGATATCACATATAAGAATAAAAAATTATAATCTTTAATATAAAATCTCTTACGAAAGAAAATTCTATTTATATATCGTTATATGATTTTTTTAACGTGATACAATCATATCATATAATTAAGATTAGAAAAAGAAATACGCATTAATATCACGTCACTAAAAAAGTAAGTGCTATATTACGTGATTTTTCGTGTAATTCGTGTAGAGTATGAGCCGATATATTTTCATTGTTTTAAATCTGTTGGAATCAAATTACAATTATGTCATGTTATTCACGTCACGATACTGTGTATCATCACATATAAAACATTCCATAATTTTATTTTCACGTGATTATAAAAATGAAAGAATTATTTATCGAAATGCATATTTGAAATTTATTTAAAATTTATACGATATATGTATACAATATTATCATTGAGACATATGTACACTTTTAATATTTTCAATAAACGATTGAATTTTCTCAAATATTTCTCTTTTTTTTTATAGCATCGCGTCGCATCATTTTTTCATTAATTCATTGTAATTGAATACGATAAATATATGTAAAAATGCATAATTCTAAATATAATTCAATATATTTTAAGTTTTAAGTTCCAATTTTAAATTTTAACAATCATTTGTATCTATTTATTTTATCATATATTTTTTCATCATAAATATAACGTTATTCTTGATATTCATCGATATTCTTCATTTAAATTTATCGATTTTATATTGAATAAAAATCTTCCTAATTAGAAACTGCTGAAGATTTTATATCTGCTAATATAATGGCATGATATAATATGATTTTATACGACAAGATATTAATATGCTTTTATGTTACCTTTAAATTCTGTTTCTTCGCTTCTGCAATGAGATCTTTAAGATCTTGTAGAGTGCCAAATATTGGATCTACATCTTCAAAATCAGATATATCGTATCCAAAATCTACCATAGGACTTTTATTAATTGGTGATAACCATACCGCTGTTATTCCAGATTCGATGAAGTGTGAAAGCCTATCCTTAATACCTGCCAAGAAGCCAGTTAAAATAATAAGCTAAAATCAATTTTCGAATCTAATAATTGGATGATAATAAAAAGAATCGAGTCAGATAGTTTCACATTGGTTTGCAAATGCTAATCTGTTATTTGTGGATCAATCGTGCTATATCGATGATCATGAAAATAAATGATCGAGGAATAGATACATTCCTCTTCTATTTCTATCATTTTGTCCATTTTTTAAAATAAGAAATTAATATTAACTATGTAATAGATTTTAATTAGATTTTAAATTTAATATGCGAAATTATTAAAAATCATGAGGTTAATATTTTATTTTTTAATTCTTGTAATAAAATAAAAATGAATAAAAGTGAAAAGTGAACTCATTTCGTGATTCATTAATGGACGAGAATTAACAAAAAATCTAAAACTTTACAAGTAAGATATCCAAGAGAAAATAGATATCCATATATATTAATTTATCAATTCTTCTATTTTTCATGTCAATTTTTATTTTTGCTTTATATTTTCTATTACAGATAGTTATAGATTGTTATAGATAATACGCTGGAAATATTATTGTAAATATTATTGTAACTTCTAATGTATAACGCATTTGAATTATGAAATCGTTCAATTTTTCACCATTATATCTAATCGTTAGATAATTGTTACGTGTGTGTTTTTGAAATATAGATGAGATATCGATCTACATTATTTTATTACTATTTATTATTATTTTTAGATATTTTATTACAAGAAATTATTATTTAAATATTTTTAATTAGGTAATAAATTATTCTCTATCAAATGTTACACTTACTATTATTATTATGTTTAATTACGATATTATTAATGATTCTTTCTAAATATATTTGATTTAAAAATAATTTAATGATGTTCTATTATTTTTGTTTCAGGTAAGTGACGAGTACAAAGAATAAATGATTATAATCGTCACGGTGAGTAAGAATTCGAAAACAATTTTAAGATTTATTAACAAAAATAAAATATTATTAATTTCGAAAAATATAAAAAACAATTAAAACATATTGAAAATAAATCGCGTTGAAACGAATAAATGTTGATTGATTAAATTAATAAATATTTCTTTTTTATTGTATCACTGATATTAAGTCAATATTGATATTCAATAAAATTTCTCATGACATCGTGAATAAGTTGGCATAATTAATAATTGATTAAATATATAATATATAATAAAAATATATATTAAATTTTTTTAAATTTTTTTAAATTCACAATAACAAATGTATATTTTTCTTCAACGAGGAAAATTATAAGATAAAAAAACGATTAATCAAATTTGTTCCTTTTTACGGTAATTATCGATCAGCTCTTACGCTAATATACCGTTACAAAAGATTTTTTATAACTCCATTCAATTATCATCAAACATTCAAAGCTCACGTACGTTACATCATACATACGTATCAAAGGAAGGACGTGAGATTCCAGAAGTGCAATTAAATATTAACTATCTTTATCTACCATTATTTTATAAAAAATGTTTGTGGAATGAAAGAATAACACGAAATATATTATTTCTAAATATAAAAATCTTTACACAATATTCTTGCATTTGTTGATAAAAAATATATTCCACAAATTCTTTAGATTCAATATTTTACTAATTTATTTTTATTTATTTTATTGTTAATTACTAACGTATTCTCATTTTTATTATCGACTAATTACAACTATTATTATCAGTGTTAATAAGCAAAGAATTAAAAGTTTGGATTAATTCCAAGCTTGAGATTCAGTAGAATGCTCAACCACTTTGCGCATCTCTTTAAATATCTTTAATCCATTCATGATACTATTATTAGTTAACAAAGTATAATTAATTTCAATTGCACAAGTTGTTTTTAAACGATTCATTTATTTACATTAACATTAATATTTGAATATCATTTTAATCTCTATATTTGTTAAGAAAATATATATCTTTATATAAGGAAAGATCGTTTAAATATTTCATAAATATTATTTGAATTGTAAATTGAATTGTTTCAATATTTTCGAAATATTATTTAAATTATTTAAAATTAATATTTTAAAATATTATATAAATATATGTGAAAATGGCAATTATAAATAGTAAAATACTCAAATGAACAAAAAAAAGAAATTATCAAACAAATATTTCTTTTTATCTTTTATTTAATATTAATAGGATATGAAAATATATCATTTTTAATTCAATTCTATTATAAATAAATATTCTTGTTACAACAAGATAAAAAATAAATCGTTTAAATTTATAAACTAAAAGAAATACATTAAATAATTTTTTCGTGTATTATGATGTAAATATGAATAATTATACGTATTTTCCATTAATCAAATCTTATTAAGATAAATATATTATTATCATCATTAATATCTGTACCAAGAATTCATAATTCATGACTAAGATCTACTCAATTTTTCAATTCTCTCATTTTCTTTCCTCGACACTTTTTTAAAGGAACATGATTTAATCAATCAATACCAATCAATTATGTACAATTGCAAAGTTAACAACTCGTGCATCATGATCACACTTCAATAAAGATGCATGGCGTCATATATTACGAAACTTCATTCCAATATGACATTTAAATATTTGAATCACGATTGTAATCATGTTAACTTTTAACAACTTATCTTTTTTAACCAATCTTAAATCTTTCTAATTTCCAATCTCTTTCTTCTATCTCCCTAAATCACTGCATATTTTAATTACGATTTTTCCGTCATACTTCTTAAAAAAATTGTACACGAGCGATACAACATTATTTCCAATTTTATTTGATATTTTCGATCGAGATTTACATTTCTAATCGTGCGATGCACATTTTATCATGAAAATTATGATATAAACTCGTTGCTGAACTGAAGTTGTCGCGCAATTTGTGTAAATCTTAGCTTAAAAGCGATCCAATGTATATACGATACGCGGAAAATGAAAAACACAAGACACAAGTGTTTTCGCGCGAATTTCCTACCTTTCAAATCCCCGATGCCGTCATTATTGGAATCCATGAAACTGCGGGGATATATCTGATAGAAGATCGCGTTCTTCCACCAACCCTTGTTATTTTGGCCGGCGCCAAGGCTGACCGCGAGCAGAAGTACGACCACGACGAAGCTCTTCATGATTTGAATGATACGGCGCGCGATCACGCGGTCCCTTATATTCTTCCCGTCAGATTGGACGGTAAAAAAGAGCACGGACTATTTTTATCATGGGAGCTCGGGAAAAATCGCGACAGATAACAGCGTATCATTGTCGTGAAATTGCAACGCGATCAGGTAAATACGGGATACGTGCAATACGTAGCTCAATCGTCTCTGCATTTCTTTGTTTATTATTATCTTTGTTTCTTTGTTTCTTTTTTTTTAAGTGTTAATAGTGGAATAATTTCCGCACTTGAAAATCGAAGTTTCTTTCGCAGAATCGAGAAAAATAGACTTTTGAAATAGGTAAATGGGAGTAAGTAATTTTAGTTCTTCTCTAGCGATGTAGGATTTTGCGAATAATTTCGTTTGAAATAGTAAAATAATCGTATTTTATACATATTATTCCAATTAGAAATTAAAATTATTTTTATAATTTCGAAAATTTATTAATACAATATAATTCATTGCCTAAACAATCATCTTTACAATCATCTTTATTGATTACTTGCTTAATATTTTTTAAAAATATGAATGTAGAACATACATTTATTTTTCGAATAGATACATACTATCTTATGATAAAACTTATTAAAAGAAATAAAAAATATTCTAACTATTTATTTACTTTAATCGCAAAGTTGAAGAAGCTTTGAGCCGTGTAGAATTCCGAGAACGTGCTTACTTGTTTAAATTTTATAACGAGAAAACACGAGATTCGAAGAAAAATTCCAGGAAATTCACGAGATAAATTTTGTCGCGTGGAAATTTTATAAAAGTCGTTTTTATTGAAGAGTACCGAGCAATTTATTGCTCGAGACTGGAGAGATCGCGAATTGCCAGCTTTCTTTGCGCACTGGATAATTCAAAGTTGTGCCAAAGTTTTCACTGTGAGAGACGAAGAGAGATATTTTTATTACGTTTGACGATTCTCGTGTTGGAATTAAAGAAAATATTTAAAATTCTTGTTAAACTTGAAGCACAGCAACGGATAGCGAACATTATCTATACAGAAAGATTCAGATGCTTCCTGTAAAAAGTGATGAATAATGTGTCGTTTTAATCTTATATCGATTAATCGAAAAAAAAATAAAAAATATGCAAAGTATTTCATATCGATTGAATTGAAAAATAAAACGAAAATCTAATAATCTAAATTATAATAAAAATGGAACTCCTATTTATGAATTGATTTAGAATTGATAGGATACGTAACAATAAATTATAGATGCTAAAGATCATATATTTCTTGATAGAGATGAATCATCATAGTATTAAAAAAACCAGTAGATGACGATATTGATGTGACTGTAAATAATTAAAGGAAATATTATTAAAGGAAAATACGTGATGAGTGAATACGTTTATAAATTTATAACGTTATTTCAATAGAGTAAATCAACGAAAAGATCTAATACATTATGGAAACGATACTTTGATATTTTATTGCTGTTAAAATTGTGTTCGCGTTACGATCCTTATCAGATTAATTGTATTTCTAAAACATGAAAATGAAATATTATATGTGAATGATATCAATTATATAAATAGTGAAAATGAAATATGATCTATTTTTATGAAACTCTTTGAATTTATTTGATATTCATTATTTAATGTCATGTATGGACAAAATGTTTGACGAAAATTATGGAATATCTTCAACATTATGTATTCCGTAATCTGAAATAAAAAAAAAATATTAATGTTAAAAAAATATAATATTCTCTAATATTTTTAAACAAAAAAATCATTAAGATTTATTATTAAAATATAAAATAAATGATTTATTTATTATTTATTTTCCTCATGAAATGAAAAAAAAATTGTATAAATAATAATTTATTAATTAAATAATAATATATTAACTATTAATCTTTATATCATAAGTCATTTAAAAATTCTTTTAATTGATTGAATTATTGAATTTAGAAAATATAGAAAATTCTAAAATTATGCAAAACTTAGTTTATAACGTTCCATTCGTCAATGAAAACAATATAAGTTTTTGATTAATATTTTTCTTATATCTCCTATCTTATCGTATCTTTCATTTTGAACAGTGAAACGAAACAAAAAGTAAAACTAAATCAAAGAACACAATTATTGAAAATACAACGAGTATATTTAATATATCATGAATACCTTGGCAAATGAGGTCTGTTTGCTAAATGTAGCAACGTTGAAAATTCATAAAAATCGAAAAATCGTGAAAATGTACGCGATTACGTTCTATACAAACCTTAACTAACACATTTCTTTTTTTCACATTTTAGGTAGGAAATAGAGGGAATCCCGAATAAAATTTAAATGAGAATATTAGAGCAATACATATGATTTCATTTCCGTGTAGCGAATTCAAACTTCGAATAGCGTATATTAATATATTAATAAGTATATATTTAGTCGTTTGTAATTAAATTAATAAGCAACAATAATATAATTAATCATGTTTTACACATATTACACATTGCATTTTATATATATATATATGTTCTAATATTAATTCTTCATTCATCTAATATTTTATTCTTCATTCTAATTATACTTCTTGTTTCAAGCTTTTTAAATGATTTTTACTTCTTCAATTTGTCTTCTTCCAAAGATCGTTTGTACGTATAAATACATACATATTAGAAATGAGAATTTAAATAAATGTAAACTACAAAGTATAATTGTAAAAAGTGAGATAATTACAGTAATTTGGAATATTGAAAAACTTGTCATGAGTTATTCAATCATTGAAGAAATTACCACATTCGTGAGTGAATGTTACTTCTTTCACCATAAGTGATACGTAAACAGATTACGCAAGAATATCTAAAATTATTCGGACATTCTCTTATGTATTCCTGTCACAAATCAGAATTGTAAATTATATTCATAAATGCACTGATATCACAATAACATTAATTACAATTATCCTTAATGGATAGTTTTATGCTAAAATTATATATAATTACAGTTTTATTCATAGTTTTATTCAATAGAAAAAATTTCCAACGATTTCCAAAAATTTATGATTATTGTTTGAACTCGATTCCATCCATATTTTTTATATTTTCCATATTTTTTCTATATACGAGAAAAATGATTTATTATTTCTTTCCATTGTTCTCGTTCTACTTTATTTAATATAAAAATTTAGTTCATTATATTATATTTAGTTCATTATATCCAAATGGTTTTTTTCTCTCTCTATATATATATTCAATCAAAGATAATATAATATTAAATATATTATCCACATTAAATTCGTTTCTTCGAGCATATCCGCTTTAAAACAGTTTACCACCTTCTTCGAGCACGACGTTCGCACACCTTCGAGTATCCAATTTCGTCCCTTGTCACCCAGTCTGCATTCAGAATGAAGCTTGAACGGCGAACTTTTTAACGGCCGTGGAAAATGGTCGAAGCCAGCAGCCGCCCAATCGAGGAATTTTTGCGAAAGTTGACGAGTGAAATTCTTATGGAACGAACTCCAGCATGGACGAAACCGCGACGATTATAATTGGCAAGCTGATTGACGTGGCAGGGAACCGATATACACACACGACCGCTTCCGTTCACGCTTTCAGGCCAGTTTTACCTTCGGGTGAAAAAAAAGTGAAAGGCCCGGTTAATCGGATCTGGTCCTCGCGAGTTTCGGCCAATTTGACCCATGGCTGCCTTTTCGACCAACGAAGCTGAATGCCAGTTTTTCAGTGTGCGTTTCTTGTTTCAAACGTTGAAGGATTTCTATGAATAATTCGATCGAATTGAATTTCGAAATTTTTGCGTAGAATTGATTTTTGATTGGTTTCGTGATACGGTATTCAAATCTGTTATAGAAAAATTTTAGTATTTCAGTATTCCATAGTTTATCCATTTTATAATTTGAAGAATTTTAACATGTATGGCATGATGTAAATTATAATATTTAAAGTTTCTAATGAATATCATTCATGCTTCATTAATATTTAAATATTCTATTATCCAAATATTCTATTATCCATATTCTATTATTTAATAATTTTATTCTTCAATAATTTTATTGATTAAACATTTGTATTTTATTATTCGATATCTTATTATTACATTAAATTTTCTATTATTTCAATGAAAAATAATATTTCATTGTTAGCTTTTTATTATATATATTCAAAGTTTTATTATGCAAATGTTTCATTTATTATTATTCGAATATTGCATTATTGTATTCAAATTTATTATTGGAATGTTCCATTATTTTCTAATATTTAAAAGGCTACATTTAATATTCGATATTGTTAAAAATAATATAGGATAAACGATTAAAAAATGTTGAATTTCTATTATATTTTATTGTATCGTTACAATATTTCGATCTTGCTATAATATAAAATAATTGTCGTAAGGGGAATAAATCATCCTCTATAAAAATTACTTTATTCCATCGAACATATCTTTCTTAATTCCATTAATTTGGATAAAAGTTGGGATGAAAGTTCCATTACAATTAAGTTGTGGCTTCGTGATGGATAATTGAAGTAAAAGTAAGTGTAAAGTATGTAGATTATTTTAGTATATGAAAAAATCCATATATATCATTGATATCTGAATACTTTTATAAATCACGTGTATAATGAAATTTATTTATTTTTTATTTTATTATCTATTACTTTATCAAATATTTAAAGAAATACATGATTCATAAATTAAATATTCGAAGAGAGAAATAATAAATTAATTAATTTTATTCCTGAAAAAAATAAAATTTTATTAGAACTATTTCATCAAATCCTGATTTTAATAATATATTAAATATATAAAAAATATTCTATGTATAAGGAGTTTTAAACACGAAGAAAATCTAATAAAAAGCAATAAACAAATATGTAAAGAGGATTATAAATATAATAAAAAATTATAAATTTTTTATACATTTCAAAATATTTGAAATTTATTAGCTAATACATATATATATAATAATATAGAGAGACATTTTAACGATATATGTTTCTTTTCGTCGCTTCAAAGAATAGTCATATTCAGGAAAAAATTAAAAGTTTCCAAATTTAGCATCTTG